TAAAACAATCGCCGTTTCTTTTCTTACTTTAAATTACGCTTTTATTATCTATAGGTTCGATCGAGTTCCAAGATATTCGATTTTATAATTTTTTTCGATCTGTTTTGCATCGTGATAAAACCCGACGTTTATATTACAATTCCTCATTAAATTTGTGCGTGTGTGTATTAAAAATTTAATACATACGTATAATCTTTCGAAAAATTTTATCGTTTTAAGATTTGCATTTTCCATAAGCGCTAAAATATTTTTTTATAATCCACATAAAAGATTGCTATAAATCATCATACCATTAGCTACCAATGGTACTCAAAAATTAAATAATATTTTTTCTTACAAAATCGACACGGAAATAATCTGTACACTCTTACACATAGTACAGAATGTAATTATGAAATACATGCAAACAGATAAAATTGGAATAATAGAAGCGAAATTGTCCGTACAACGTCAACACGATTGTGCAAAAATCATCCCTTTGGCTTTCCTTTTCTTCCTGTCCCGCCCAGTATCAAATTACGTATCGCCTTTCGCGTTTATAACAGCGATATTTCCACAACGGTATGCTCAGCAAGCTATGCCTTCGCTTGCTTTTTCGCGAAAAGTGCGCGCCACTACATGAAGCGGAAAATTGACATAAACTGTTGCTCCTGGCACTCTTCTTCACGAGCTCCCCAGTGCTCGGAGCATCGCACGCGTTGTTGCGGTAGTATAAGGCAGACTTTTCACCGGTCCCCTCCTTATACAAGTCACTACGAGACACCCTCGAGACAAGTACGGTCTTTGAGATTTACTCGACGCATTATCTGTACTTAAGTGAATTCCTCGATATTATCTGGATTGTTCTTTACCACAATGTGTGAGACGCTGATTTTCGTAAGAATTACTCTCTTGACACGAGTTTATATATAATTAAGAATTTATATATTGTTTTACATTTAGATATCGCGGATAAGAGAAATTTAACGTATTAAATTGCTTTACATATTCTGTGTAAAAGTTTAGTCACGCGAATTATTCTTTTTTATTTAAACTTCTTTAACTCCTTTTCTCTCTTCTTTATTCTGAAAGAACGCAGGCTTTTAGCCCATGTTGTAAGATGAGAGTTATAATTCTGCTGGAATTCCATTATTCCTTTCAGAAATGATCTGATGAGACAAGGTTGATCAGTCAGTAATTTCTCGTAATGTCATGAATACAAAAATATCAGGATCTCTCTCTCTCTTGTTCTTTTCTACTTTTACTAATGTATATATCGTTTAAGAGAAATTGATTCTGTTTGCTATAGTTTCAATTTACTATCTAATTTCAATTTATTAAACTAATTTTAATAATTCGAGAAAGAAAAAAGAAGACCGGATATTGTTTATGTGCAATATTTTGAAGTAGATACTTGATTACATATTATATCCTTTTTAATAACTGATTTTTTCGATAAAGATAATAGGATGAGCATAGGATAAAGTACATCGCTAAATTATTTCTGCTTAATAAAAAAAAAAAAGTTGCCGATCTCTTTATCTTTCATTTTCTACAAGAAAGTGGATTCAGATTTTGTTGCAGAAATTTATTTGGATATATTATCTATATTATCGGTTGTTTATCGTTAATATTGTACCGTACAAATATTATATCTCACTTGAATACAATTTAGACTGTTACTATAAGATAATCTTTATCGTATTTTTCGCACATATTTATTTATTATATATACATTATATAAAAGAATTTATAATATTAATAAAACGCAAATTTCTATGAATTTGATTTCCTACAAATTTCTCGTTTGCAAAAAGTATTTCATAAATTTTATTCATCGATAATAAGAAACGATAAAAACGTCAAAGAAATTTTTTCTTACATTATACACACTACTAATTAATGAATCAAAGCGATTATCACATTGAATATCTTATGTTAGGATCGGTGCGTGGCTTAGCAATGCTGAACGCGCGACACGTGACCGGAGACTTGTCGCAGATATTAATTAAAATTCGCGCGGGCACTCGACTCGCGTAATGAAGAGATCTCCCGCTCTTTAATCACCTCTGCGTCACATGAAAACCACTCCGACGACGTCCGCGTATGCGTGTGTGTATATGTAACGCTCGTATAAGCACGCTTTTGTGCGGCTCTATAAGTTATTCGCTCGACTCGCGTTCGTCTCTCTCTCTCTCTTTCTCTCTTTCTCTTGTCAAGCGAGAGAGTCCGTTCCAATTACATGGCCAGGTTAAAGTTTCTACAAATAATATGGCAAAAGTTGCGCTGATCTTCTCTATCGTAGCCTCTTATCCATTTCCGCTGCCGTTTCAGAGGCGCGAGAAATAGCCTTTCGCGACGTGGTTAGCTCGCGGCTGCATCACTCGTCGGACTCATTATCACGATGCAGCTTCATCTCACGGCCGATGCCATATCAATTATGGTGCAACGGAAGCATCTCTCGTCAAGCTACTCTGCATAATTAATAGTTCGACAGTTGACAAGACTTTGAATAAAAGAAACGCTATTGGCAAATGCGGACAAGGAAACAATTCGAAAAGAATTTCTAAAATGCCTTTCCTACGTATTAAAATTGTTTTGCCACTTCTCTAAATTTATTTTTCTTACTATATGATATTGGAAATAAAATTTAAAATAATAGAGAAAATAATATTTGAAATGGGCACATATACATACAATGGAAGCTTAAAAATTTTAAATCTTATTTAAAATAAAAATTCTTGAAATTCTTTTAAAGTCATTATTTTAAATAATAATTTTAATTATTGAATTTGTATCTTTTATTTTCAGAGAAATCAAACTTGGGATAATTTTTTATTTAAGATAACTATTAAACTATTTAAATGATTGTTTTCAATAAATTGCAATCAATAATAATAATTTTTTTTTTAAATAATTTATATTCATAAATAATTATTTGAATTATGTCATACTTCACAAAAACTAGCGCACATTACTCAATTACTGATTCAGATACGTAAATATTAAAAGCACGCCTGAATGAAAACTTCAAGACAAAGAAGATTTTTGATTTTGAGGATCCCGTTTGGACAGTCCATTTCATGTGACCCAATTGCGGACGATATAGAGAAAATTTGGGGTGCGAGTTCGAAATGTAGTCTCTCTGTACAACCGGAAACGCCCAACCACATACACGCGTGTTACTGCACACGCGACTACCAGGCTGCTTTGGCCTCCTAAATAGTGAAGTCGATGGCAGCAGCCCAAAGAGAATTTTCTAGTGATGTATACCTTTTGGTTACTTTGCAAGCAAGAGTCGCTTCGATTTACCTTTAAAAACCATCCCACGTGCATAACGTATGATTGTTAGTGACGTCACTCGCATACGTGAACGCTTCTGAATTTGCTCCGTTCGATATACATTTGTAAAGAAAAATGTTAAATGACTCAATAAAGACAAAGTAGATATTACTGTAATTGCAGGATGGCAAATTCAATTTAATAAGTTCGGTTTTTGCTTCTCCTCTCTCTCTCTCTCTTTTCTCTTCCTGTAAATAAAATAGATTTCTTTTTCTCTCTCTATTTTTCATTCGAGTACAAGATACGCGTCATTTGGATCTAAAATCGGATCTGAAGTTTACAATAGCACCATTATGGTGAAAAAAAAACGACTCAAGAAGTATACTTCTATCGACTTTTCCTCTTAAAATCCACAATAATATTTGAAACTGTAGGTATTTTAATAAAAATTAAATCCCCTTTCAGAAGATGGTGAAGATTTTTTAAACTAATGCTGCTTGTATCGCAATCTGTGAGAAACTTGCGTAAAAGATTACGACGATAAAATGAATTTTCGTAAAATATTTCGACAAGATGTACGGCCGCAACGCGCTCGTATCCTCACACATACACACACCGAGGTTACTGCCGCAATCTAATTTGATACTATAGAAAGTAGAGACAGCAACAAAGAGCGATGTATCGCGTGTATAAATTCGTTTTCGCGACACATCCAACCCATTATGCGAGCTCGTATCGTGTCCTGCCCGCGATACTTTCCGCGGCACTGCCGCAAATGCGGGCCTCACGCATGAAATAACGTTACGCGGTGGAGAAATGCGATCGTGGGCGGACAGATGGAAGGGGAGAGCTCGATCTCCATAAGTATCTCGAAATCTTCTCGTACATTCGATCGCACACACATGCGCGCACGCGAAGGACCGTCTATCCTCCACCCGCCGCCGAGACGACGACGGTGGTCGGAACGTAGAGACTTGAAAAATTGCATTTTGTATTCAATAACTAAGCTGTCACGCCGACTGGTGAGCTTCTATAACTCAAAGCGCATCCACGCAGCCACGCGTACACCGACCCTAGATCGATCGATCCTTCTTTCGGTGGTAGAGAGTACGAGGAGGAGGAAGGGATAGGGGGATGCACACGTACGGTGCGCTCTCTTTTCCTCTCCCCCTCCCCCCTGGCATACTCGTGCAAACTCACTGACGTTGTGATTTCAAAAAATTCTGCTGTCGAACTTTGTATCGGATTTTGTCGGTCGAGTTCCGCTATCCCCCCTTCATCTTCCGGCGCCAATGTCTGACAGATCCCGAAACTGTCTCATATTCGTCAAGCGAATTTGGCGCAAGATTTTCTCGCGCCGTTGTTGCACACATATGAGTATCCCGCGCGCGATCCGACTGTATTAAAATTTAATTAAAATACGATGTGTGACAATACGATACAATGGTGTGCAAATAATATATTGTAATATTGTCGGAGCGATGCCGGATGTAGAATGTAATTAACGCGGGAATTTACACGTGATTTTGATTCCTTATCAGTCCATGAACGTAATTAAATGTATATACTAGGTTATTAGTTAATTATTATATGTACGTTAGCCTAGAAATTACGATTTTATCGCGGTTTTATGATAATATGATATACTTTAGAGATATTATTACCGTGAAATTATATTTTATATGTATATCGGTACATGTACATACATATTTTTATACTAATTATATTATTTTTTTCAGTTTCCACCATCCCTGATCCTCAATTCGTCGACGAAATAGGAAATATTACGGTACCGGCGGGACGAAATGTCAAATTAGCGTGCAGCGTGAAAGATCTCGGATCGTTTAAGGTATGTATATATGAGAATGTATAGTTTGTTTTCTTACCATTTATTTATACACGCGAAATGTATATTTGTCACTTTTACCACAATTTAATTATATCTACGAATTGCGATACACTAATGGAAGATCGATTAGTTTACGAATAACTAAGCAAAAATAAATCGATAATATTTACTTATATAACAGCTTATATTAATATCGAAGATCAAAAATGTAATTATCTTTATTAAAACGAGCTTCATATTACAGACTTTTCGGATAAATATTAAACATTAATATTTCGTGTTGAGTCGACTTTTAATTAAAATTTTTAAGATTGACGTATTTCCTCTCTTTCACTTTCCTCTTTCATCTTAACCTTCTAAACTCAATTTTTGCTGGAAGGCTAAGCAGAAAATTATGTGCACGTGACATCGTTAAATCACGTGGTTGGATGATACCGAAATACTTTGATAAATGTCATTCATCAATAAAGGATCTCATTAAATTCGAAGCGTGGGACGCTAGAGAAAAATCGGGAGCGAAGAGGAATACGTATCTTCGTAGGATCTTGAATAATTTTCTCATCTGGCGCACTCATCTCACTCAGCTGTTATCGTACACGGAATAAATTAATGACACTGTAGATGTATATGGCGCGTCATATTTAATATATTTTCTTGCTAAAAGCAACGAGTCAAATTACTACCAATGGTTAAACCGTATAATTGTACATAACGCTATAAGATTGCGGATAATATTAAAAATTTCACAACTAATCGAGTAATTTAATTCCGTTCAAATTATTTGAGATTATCGTTTTTTCTCGAAAAGCGCCACGATAAATTAAAACTCGTTATAATACGAGCACATGATAATATCGCTTTAAGCGGATAAACTACAAGGAGAAGTCTTTTTCAGGAGAAGTCACTTTTTTATTATAGAAATAAGCTTTCTATTCATTAGAGCGATGTTTTTTTTTTAAATGTCACTTACTGCTCGAGTTACCTATCATTCATAGGAAATAAGAAATGAGACTTTATTATTTCTGCGTTAAAATTAAAAGCGCGTATCTTAGAAACATATTTTTAGATCTCTTTTCGAATGTTGAATTAAACCAACTATTTTTTGCAAAGATTTTCTCCGTTCGAAGCGTGCCGAAGATCAAGCCGGACAATACTTTGTCGGGCGCCTGCGTAGAATAATTTTGTATCGTGGTCCGAATACACTGTGCAACGGCTTAGCCCTCTCACTACCTCTTCTCCACCTTATACGAGCCTTATACTGCCCCTCAGTGCCCTTTAATGTCCCCGTGGAAAGGCCACAAGGGATCGTAACCGCTAAACACGCACTTAAAGCACCCCTCGTATCTTCTCACCGGGATCAGCACTATTACCCTACGATCATTTGAGTTTGGATATCGAATGGCGAGCAATCGCTACGGCTAATCGATTATTATCGGCGGCCGCATGTCATTTTGACTTTCGCACACGTGATGACATGTAATGACAAGAGTAATCGATCGTAAGCGTCGTAACAAACGTAAAAAGGGAGGACAGCAGCGGAATATAATATATTAACAAAGAGAGAGGAATTTAATTTTATAAATTTTTCGAGAGGGATGAATAAAAGTTCTAATTCCAATCTAAATTGAAATGAGTCGCGTATATGAATTGCAAAGATATCTTTTTTTTTTTAATCTCTGGATAGCGCGCGGGACGGGGAACAAGGCAGGATATTTTATATCGCTTTGAACTCCGTTTGATATAATTTTGCATTCATTGCCAGGGAATCCGAATTATTTCGCAATCTCTCTGAAGTTGCGCTTGATGTCGTTAACGGGTACATTTACGCGCGAAAAAATTTTATCGCGTTTAAACGTATTGCTACATTTTTCTGGTCTTCCGGATCGCACGGCGAATGAGCTCTCCCTTCCGCATATTATCGAAAAAAAAATTCGCGATATTTAATCCCCATTGAAGCTGCAACGAGATTTTCTTAACTTCTTTTTGCCTACCGGGGCCGTAAGGATCAATCGTCCATTTTCGCGAAATCAAGATACACCCCGGCCAAGAAAAAATAATCGCTATAAGTCAAGATATTAAAATTCCAAGTTTTTTTTTTTTTTGCTGTAGATATCGGTACGATATCTTGCCGAGAAATTTCCTTTGGCTCTCCTTAAAGTTCTCACTGCAATACAACAAGAAGAAAGTTAGTCACAATTACGTTATATGAAATCTTAATTTACTCCTTGTCATTATTAATACCGTCGCGTTTGAATTAAGGTTTATATAGATTGTTTAATATTGATATATTTTTTTGTAATGATTTTTCTTTTAATTTTATAATTTTGTTTTAGGAAATTTTTTATACGCTTGTGTTATTTTCTAAATTTATATAAATATAACTCACGACATATAGAGACATATAGATATAACTTTAACACCTACAATAATTAATTACCTATATTGAAATAAATTAAATATAATGAGAAATTGAAAATCAATGGTTTACATAAAGTTTACACAAATAATTATATTTTGTTTAAATTTAAGCCTCGATATGTTTTACGCAATCATCATGAATGAATAATAATGTCGATTTAGCATGATATCGATATTTAGCATGAATTTCTGGATTCAAATCCAAATAAAAAGAATTTTTACTCGCAATTGACACAAATTCACCATCCACGATCGGATCGCTATATCGATTGCCTGTGGCTTGGCGAAAATATAATATTGATTTATTTTGCATTTTTGTATCGCAAAAGCTTCTTGTCCTCTCGTATGAATGAAACGCGGATTTGCAGCTTATCTTAATATTATAACTGTACGGAGAGAAGGCATCTGTTTTTTTCTTTCATACGTATATGTATATCTCATCGGATTTCGAGCAGCGGTTTATTTGGAATTTCGTCGACTAGTCAAATACATACGCGACCGGCAATTTTTACGCTTCAATACAGCCAAATTCGCGAGCACCGCGAAAGAAAGAAAGAAAAAAAAAGAAAGAAAGGCGAAACGCATGATTCGATGCGCAGCCAACGAAAATGTAAATCCACCGCAACTGTAGCCGATGGTGGCGCGCATCCGGCCGGAAGTAAAAATTCCCTTCGGCGTTATTGTTCTTTGGTCGCTTGCCCGATGTACAGTCGGCTCGTATCTTAACGTGGAACTTCCCCATTTACCGATACTATTTCGCGATGCAGATCGCGACTTCTGAATCCCGGTAAAATGTAAGGATATTGGCTCCGGCGATCGGTATATTTCTGCGGAAATCGAACGAGGAAGAGATGTCCGATAAGAAAATGCATTTCGATTCCTACTCGGAATACGGGCAATTTTTTTCGTCCTTCGCGTCGAGTCGGAAATTCGCCGTATACGAAGATCACGTGTGTATACACATGTCGCGTAAGTATATTTATACATATTATATTTACAAATATTAGACAGAATGCAGATCTTTGTACGTGTTACAAATCAAGTCTACACGTGAAATAAAAGATCAATAATGCTTTTAATATGGAACATATCTTAAATATGGAACACAGAGATGAATAACATTTTTTTTGTGTTTCTGGCTTCCCCTGTTTCAAATATATATTTACCAGAAGTGCTCTCTATATACACACACTCGTATTATTTCCAATACAAAACTTGAATCAAGGCGAGTTAGTTTTTTATTCTATATCGGTATACGCTTTTAATGTTGTTGATTTGTCTCCATTTTATACGGTATTCGCGCAAGGAGGATCCTCTCTTTCTCTTGCCTCCGCGTCTCTCGATGAGAGTCATCGTTATACTGTAGACGAGTACGTTTGTATTAAGCTCTTCTCAGATTATTCTCCAATTAATTAGCCCGAACGATTCTTCAATTGATCTTCGGCGTGCAACCCGCCACCATCGACAAACTCCAAGAGGTTCGTTATCCTCGATTCGCTCTCACCCTTAGACACGAATGGTTAATGAACTGGAAGGTAGTTTGTACCCGGTTGTATTATTAAGATGTTAGATTGTGTTATGCTTGACCGCGCTTTTGGGGATAACGAGGATAATGGAATTAAGAGTGTCGGAGAAATGTCGATATATCGCTCATCTGTAACTTTAACGTTATCATCAATTTGTAGTGTCCTTCTCTGTGTCTCTAAAGTAATTATATAATTCATTTTTGATTATCGCGTCTAAATAAATATTTTTATAAATTAAAAACTGTTTATTCGCGTCTATTATTTTGCATCGCCACATTCTTCATTTCCTTATGTCTGTTTATTATCTCTATATTTTATATCTTTTCTTCTTTTTATTGTTTTATTCGGATATAGAAATATATACTAGAAAAATAGAATCGGAAGAATTGCGACAAAGTGCGAGCTTTTGCTACCTTTAAAAGCTCGATGTCCCATACGAGAAGGCTTTGATTCTTTTTTTTTTACAAAATAATCATTGATTTTTCTCCGCTTAGCTATCAACTCCGCTCGGCGTAAACTTTTTTTCTCTCTCTCTCTCTCATCGTCGAAAAATCTGACACCGGACGATCTCGCGCGCGTTTTTATCCCCACAAATCACACACGGGAGCGGTGCGGCACGCGATTCGTCGATAAGCTCAGGCTGTCTGCTCGCAGAACATCTATCGTTATATCGATCGCCGTCCGTTCACTCTCTTGCGCAGCACTCGACTGCTGTCGTCAGGACACACACGGCGGGTGTTTGTGGATATATGTGGATATACACAGTGTGCGCAGAGTCTACTTCGGAGCGCCGACAGCAAAACCGCAAACACGCGGCTTGGCGCGACCAAACCTCAAACCAAAGCCAACACTATTGCCGCGGGGGTAAGTAGAGCTTATGTAGTTTCGATGAGCGACCGCGCGAAGGAAACTTTGCAAAAAAGGATCGCCCCGTGCCTTCATTCATCACCCGCGAAATCGTTCCGACCGCAGGAGAAATTAACGCCCTTCATTCGCTCCAGTCATTTCGTCGATTCCGCGAACGCGAGAATGTTCCTTTCTGTAAATGCATTTTTA